TCTTTCCATCTATGGGCTAGTGTAATCTGCAGCTTTATAAGAGTATCATTTAAAGTAGATTAATAAATGATTAAGTTAAGTTAATTTGAGATATGCAGAAAATATAAAAAAACAAATTTAAGGGACCTCAGAAAGAGAGGGAAGGATGTCGAGTTTGGAAATGTTAAAATGATTGTAAAATTATTAAAATGTATAAAATTGAAAATCATAATTTATTTTTTAAAAATAGCCCTTTCTTTTATTTCCTGTAAGTTGTTACTTTGTCCAAGGGTGGACTTTGGTAATCTTTCATAGTATGGCACCCTCTACAAGGCCAAAATTTGGTGCCCCAAAATGGTCTTCCGTCATGGATCTTCTCAATTTTGCACCCTCTTGGCTCATCATCTGCGCCACCCTAAACCCGACACTACCTTGTCTCCTTCTTTACTGGAACACCACCCTTTTTTGCCATTATTTGAACTTTTGAGAATAGTTTACTCCCTGGTGCTACAGAACAGGGATGGGGAAGCTTTCTGCCCTCTAGATGTTGCTGGATTCAAAGTCCCATCAACCCCAGCCAGCACAGCCAATGGTCAGGGATGATGACAGGGGGTGGAGTCCAAAAACATCTGGAGGCTCTAGAATGGCTACATTAAAAATAAAAAGGCACTGATGTAGACTTTAGCAAGAGAGGAAAATAGAAGACCCTTTATTTCTACACAGCACATAATACACTAAATTATTATGTCAAAGCAATATCACAGCAGCATGCCAGACAGTTTTGTTGGAACTCACAAAAAAATGTTCCGCTGCTTTCCTTTCCTAGGTCACTCGTATTCCCATTTCACAGCCTGATTTTGCTGCATAAAGGGCAAGGAAGTTTGCCGAACAGAGAGACCTTAAGAGTCTACAATATCAAACAGAGAGATGACCTTAAAGGAAAACATATTCCTTCTTGGTTGGGGCAGCGGTGGGGCTGAGGGACACACACAGGGAAAACTATCCCAAACAGAAATGTGGTTTCTTTGCCACCCTTGGTTATTTTACTCACCTATCTCTGCTTCTGCGGCAACACATGTTTCACATGAATCTATATTGAGATGAATTTTAACCTACAAATAAGTAGATACAGCTATGCAGGAGGGAATTCCTCCAGGATGATGTCAAGTTCCTTAAGCAGTCAAATTAAAAATAGCACATAAAACCTGACCAGTCATCTTGGCTCTGAATCCAACCAACACATTTGGGAAACATTATCGGGCTTATCAGGGGGAAACATATCACAGTAAATCTGCTTCTGTTTAAACACCATTTTATTATTCATTTTTGACATTTTCCTTTTTTCTTCAACCAGTTCCTCCTTCGCCCCCAGCAGATAAACATTAAGCCTGAGTTGAAATGCAAAACAACAGTGAAAGATTTCCTCCATGTTGCCCATACTCCCCCCTCCCCCCAAAAAGTTCCACTTTGAAGTATATATGAATTGAAAATGTTACCATTTAGATAGAAGCTCTAAGCTTCTAGGAAATGCAAAGCTGAAATGTTTTGAGGTGGACTACTACTCAAGCGCTCCCCGATGTTTGATGGGAAATGGATAAAACGGATTAAAAGTAACCCATGTTCTGCATACAGTAAATTATGGAGTACAAATCGCTATAGCACGAGACAAGGATCCAATAGGATCTCGTGCTCTTCTGCGTCAACAACAGATTTTTCGTAAAAGCGTGTATATTGCAAACTCTCAACATACATGATAAAAGTGCATCAAGCCAACTACACAGACCAGACAAAATATTGATCATAGCTAATATAGAAGGCTTACATTGTAAGAATTTTTCTGCAGGCAAATGTATGCTGGTGAGAATACAGCATTTTCAGGGTAAACAGCCTTCCGTCCCCTATCTTAAAAACCACTGATCTGTGCTAATTTCATGACAGCTGAAAATGACCGTGCCTTGACACGTGCCAGTTAGATAGTTAAGATAGTTTTACTGGGTCAAAATTTGCAGTTAGCAGCAAAAAATCCTAACTGGGTGTGTATGGTGGGGGGGGGGGGATGATAAAAATTGATGGGGAAATGAGACCACTTCATCGACATCTTACCACATCCTTTCACAATGCATGTCATGTGAAACCAGGGTTGAATCTACACCTATATTTTTAAAAAACCGCTGTGAAAATGCTTTTTTAAAAATGTGTGTGTGTGTGTGTGTGTGTGTGTGTGTGTGTATAATTTGCCTTTAGCTCACTGTCACCATCTAGTGTCACAATAGCCACTCGCTTCCTAAGGTAAAAGGTAAAGGGACCCCTGACCATTAGGTCCAGTCATGGCTGACTCCGGGGTTGCGGCGCTCATCTCGCTTTACTGGCCGAGGGAGCCGGCATACAGCTTCCGGGTCATGTGGCCAGCATGACTAAGCTGCTTCTGGCGAAACAGAGCAGCACACGGAAACGCCGTTTACCTTCCCGCCAGAGCGGTACCTATTTATCTACTTGCACTTTGATGTGCTTTTGAACTGATAGGTTGGCAGAAGCAGGGACCGAGCAATGGGAGCTCACCCCGTTGCAGGGATTCGAACCGCCGACCTTCTGATCGGCAAGCCCTAGGCTCTGTGGTTTAACCCACAACGCTACCCATGTCCCTTAAAAACGCACTTAAAACGTTCTATTTGCAGCTGTATAGCAGAGTCCCTGCTCCCAGATTATCTTCCTGTGTGGAGAGCCTTGCACTATGCAGTGAGGATCACACACCTAGACACTTCTGATATTGTGCACAATGAAAACGGGGTCAAGGTGTGCAGGAATCCCATGCACCTACTGCCGAGAACCTCGCACTTCAGCACAGATTCTCTACCTTGGTATTGCTCCCTGTTCACACTTCCCCGCTCTGAGTGTGCCAGTATTGCCAAGAGCAAGGAAACACAACAACAGTTGCTTCCACTCGCTTTGCCCTCGCAGGCAGTCTCGGCCTGAAGGCACAAGGCAAATCAACTTGCAATGGTGGCAGTGACAAGGTGGTAGACCCCACAAAAGATCTGGAGCTTGCAGTGTGTGAAGGCCTAATCCAGAGGTTTGGGGGTCCACGGCTCCCTTGACCAACTGCATTCTTTCTGCGGCACCCCTGTGGGGCTCAGGAGCCCAGTTCTGTCACCCCTTGCCTGCAGAGCTGGCAGCCTCTCACCCTTTTTCAGACTCCCTCCCTTGTGGAGTGCTCCCTCAGCCTCCTCTCCTAGGGAGTCCTCTGGGCAGCAGCTTCTGCTGCCCCTGGTCTCTGAGCTGCCCCCGCCCCCCGCCCCAAAGAGAGGTGCCTCAAGGGCCTGGGACTTGTCTGTACATTCCCAACAGCAAGGGCTGTCTGGCTGGGCTCCCTTGTCCGCTTGCTTGCTTACTCCGAGGCCACCTCAGCTCCTGGCCACCAGCACCCCCTGACCAGCCCCAGAGGTACCATTCGCTTGGAACCAGGGCTGCTGCAACAAACAGCCACACAAGCCTTTGGGAGGCAGAGACGCAAGAGGGCATCAGAAGAGGGATGGAAAAGGGGCAGAGGCCAGTGTTGCCTGCAGCAGCCCTGACCATCATTCAAGGTACCCCAGGGTGCTGCGGCACACTGTTGAAAACCACTGGCTTAATCTATGTAATCATTACCCCAAGAAAGTGGGGTCAATGGTCACGTGTGTTTTATCCATCCATCGGATTACATATTATAAAGTAACATTCCAAATAGATAACTCTTCATTAATGTCAGGGGCTCAGGAGCAGAGGCACAGGAAAGGGAGGAAATAGAGAGCGAGGGGGAGGAATCCGAAGGAAATGTTAGCGATGACAGCGGCCCGAGGTCTCTGAGTCTTTCCAGCGAATCGGAAGATTCACAGAAAGGGGCTCCCATGGTCAGAGCAAGGGGGGTGCCTAGGGGGACACCCCAGGAAGAAGGGGCCAGAGGGGACTCAGAGAGCAGCAGTTGGAAATCAGGACCAGCTTCCCCACCAGAGCGCAGTAGGGGGGAGGAGTCCCAGGTATCGGGATCAGGCGGCTCACCGCCAGCGGGAGGAGATGAGTCAGGATTGGCCACGCCTCCATCGGAGAGCGAGGAAACGGTCAAGAGGAAGGTTGGAGGCTGGGCGCGCGCGCCAAGTTCAAATGTACAGGAGGGCGGCGCAGTTGGTAGCCCGGATAGGGAGCCAGGTCCTAAAGCCCGCAGAAAGGAGGGACAGGAGTCAGGGGGGTCAGCGTCAGCGTCAGAAGAGTCCAGAAAGGAGGAGACCCCGCGGGGCAGAAGGACCCAGAGGAGAAAGGAGAGACGGAAGAGGTGGAGTAAGGTTAGAGTCTTAAACTGGTGTACAGGGGGTGGAGACTCAGACGGAGCTTCGCCGGTCTAGCTTCTAAGACGTAGAGCTGCGCGCTGCGGCTTGAAAATGGAAACTGTACTTCAATAAAGACTTTTGTACATTACTACCGGCTAGCGTTGGTCCTCTGTGAGCTGGGACCTGGAGGCAGCTCTGACAATTAAGAAACAATATAAGATTCAGCTCAAACATCTGAAATAAAATTGCAACCATCACACAATAGTTTTTTGGAACTTTTTTTTTTATTACACAGAAGGCAAATAACTCTCTTCTTTTGGCTTTTATAAACAGAACTCCATAGTTTAAACATTAATTCCAAGTACAGTTAAAATCAGACCTCAACCATGAATAAAATTAAGGAAATCTGTCACATCTACTGCATGTGTCTAGATCTGTGCAGACTGTCAACTTTCCCCCGATAGGGAATAGGTTACCTTGGGCATGTATGTACATTTGTATGTAATTTGAGCAATGCTTAGGATGTGTGATGACCACATCTTGTCCTGGGTTGAGCAAAGGAAAAGAACAGGGCTACACATTTGCAGCAGAGCCTGGCTGTGCGCAAATGTTATTGGCTGGAACCAGTGATGACACAAAAACACCCTTCGCCACCTCAGAGCCATTTTCAACTTTTTTTATTTTTTTAAATGCACTACTTTTCAACTACATTTTTTTAAAAAGAGAGACAAATGCACATTTACTTTAAAAGCATACATGCAGTACTTTAAAAATAGAAAGTTGGATGGTCTGCCTAAAATATAGGCAAAGGGGCAAGAGATTTGGTGACTTGAGTTTCCAGTTCACTGAGTGGTGCAACAGTTGCCTTTGAATGAGGCAGGAATTTGCCCTACAGGGGAGCAATGTGCCGCAATTTCTGTTTGTCTGTCTGTTTGTGTATGCACCTATTATTATTATTATTATTAGTCTACTCTCACATATAAAATCAATCAAGAGAATTGGTTCCAAAACATTAGAGGTTTGATCAATGGGTCTGAAGAGCAGCCAAGACTTTTGAGTTCTGCACCCAAACATTACCTGCACCCTACAGCATCAAGTACTGACAGTAATTATTATTTAAAACAAGCTTCAGATTCAAGCTGCATAGTGCTAAATCCTATCAAAGATATAAAAATAGAAAGCTATTCTTGCCCCTAAGCACCTAAAAAAGCTGGATCCCAAATAACTTAATGTGGTCAAACCAACTTCAGTGTAACAACTCCAGAAGATTTAGTTTCTGGATTTGTAGGAAGCAAGTTATTATCCCAGAAGACTTTCTGAACCATTCTGGGCCAAAAATTTCCCTAAACCCATACACACTCTAGCCAGCATGCACAAACCTTGTCTAATTCAGACAAATAAAATACAAAACAATCAAACGAAAACTCGTTGCGGCACAAGGTCTAAATATATGAATACCATATTCCATATACACAAGCAAGGGATGTTATTTTTGAAATCTTATAAGCTAACCACCTCACAGCTGCTGCAGATCACTCAAAAGACGCAGTCAGAAGAGGAACTGGCAAAAGGTTTTCGGTATTCCTTGAGTTGGGACTCCAGTGGGAAATAAAACAAAAGCAGCTCACAGTGAAGAATCTTTGTTTCTTGGAAGTGTCACATTGGGGGAACTCTGGACAGCCAAGAAAAAATAACGTAAACTCTCAGGCTTCACACAGTGGCTAACAGCCGTAAAAGGAATTCGGTGGCATTTGTGTAAGCAACTGGGCTCTCTGCTTAAAGTGGAATCCTTGCTTTCTTCCCCTCTATTAATGTCTACGCACCTTCCACTTCAATGCGGCAAAACAGCACACAACAATGTGCAAACCCCAAGAAAGACAATGCTGTGTGATGAGTTTGCTTACATAAGCTGTCCCTCATTTCCAAGTGTAAGAAAAACTGTATTTTGTCTGTAGTAAGTAGGTTCTCATGTCATTATAAATAGGTAATATGAAACATTCCCCAAAGATCCGGAATTATTAGCAACCAGACCCCGCTTCCAACTGCTTTCTAAACTGTATACAACTTTGGGATTTGTAGAGTATGGCTTTTCACATGTGCAATCTGGGAGTATTTCCTTCCAGTCAGTTTCCCCCATCATGCAGAGAGTTGGCATGTGTGAATGGTGATCCCCTGTTTGTTAGGCATATACATACAATGGCAGGAAAAGGCCTTCCTTGTTTGTTTAATAATATGTTTGAATGTCAAATTCGTATTATGTTATCCCTGTGACACAGTTTCTGCCAGGAAAGGAATTCAAGTGAACAATATTTCCCCCTGAATTAGCTTTTTGCTGACTATGAGCTTTATGCCAAGGATTTAACCACAGCAGTTCAGGCTATGACAAAAAAGACCTCTACTGATGTGGTCAATGCTTATTTTTCTAAAAAAATGTTTAGTACTCTCATTTTGACTCAAGAAAAGATAGTTCAAATCGGGGAAAATAAATACAGTAAATGGACCAAAGCACAAAGATTCACAAAATGTTTAGGGGTAAGCGTATCCCTGTGTACCCCCAGAAAAAAAGCACTGGATGTGGTCAGTACATCCTGCAAATTACATGGAGAACCAGTTCATTGCAAGCTTCCTATGTGGTTCTGCAACCATCCAGTTCCCTTTCTCGGCCAGCCATAAATTTACGCCATAAATATAAGGGGGACTTTACCTGTCAAATCCAAATGTAGTAGCGGAGAAAACAGAAAGCTGCTTATTATTTATTTTGCATTTATTTTCAGAAACTTTCCACATGGCTCAAACTGAACTGTAAGGGCGGCTGTGCAGCATTCAAAATGTACAAAACGATAACAAAGAGATTACTGAGCTGGACTCATTCAAGTAGCTCAAAGTGAGCCTGAAATAATGTAACATTCATGCAAGATAAATCCAAGAAACAGTGTCCAAAATAATAGCACCTAGCCAATCTCTTCCACTGGGGGTTATATCCCAGATGAGCAAACCCTTAACCTGTGCATATTTGTGGGGTGGGGAGGGGGAAAGGACACAAATGCAAACCACAACATTGGTGTGTTGCATTGTTAAAAGTGAGTGGCATCCCCCCATCACATGCATGATTCTCTGAGCAGCGGAGCAAATCCCTAAGAGAAAAGCAGGGAACCCTAAACACAACAAAGCCACTCTCAGTGCCATCGGTATGATACAGAGCATATAAAACTAGGCAAAGATATATATACAACAGCATTGCCTGTCTCTCATTGGTCCTGATTCCAGTGTACATCTCAGGTTTTTAAACCAAGGAAAGCACAAGCTTTGTGCCCGAGCAGTCCCATGTTCGTAATGACCCTTCTTGCTTCTTGTGTGAAGTCGGTTTAAGATGCTAGCTTGTTCTGGTCCTGGTTTCGATGTAACGGGAAGCTAAAAATCCATGCGTCGTGAACTCTGGCATGCCAAGGAGGTGGGAGCGAAGAGGCCAGAGCACGCCGACATCCTGATTCAATAAGCTGAGATAAAGTACACCCAAACGGCACCATGTATTTTTTATATTGATAATTTACAGTCCAACTATCTGCCCAAAGGCACACTGCAGACGCAACGCTACGTAAATTTTAAAACAGCTTAAAAAAAATATTTAAAATTAAACGTGCATGCACAGATTTCAGTGCAAACCCAGTGAAAACTCTGTCTGGAGTCTTTCTCTGCAAGAGGAAAGTGTCAATGGTTGGAACGTGTTGACCACTCCACAGTGCCTGCAGTCAATTGCTATGAAGACCTACTTTGAAGGGAGAGCAGAAGAGCCTCCCAGAATCCTTGGCCATTGGCCATGGTGGCAGAGGATTCTGGGAGCTGGAGTCCAGCAGCATTCGCCGAGCCACAGGTTCCTCAGCCCTGTTCTAGAAGCTTCCACAGCGAGATCTTCACTGGCATGTTTCCATGTGTGGAACGGTTCGAAGACGACAATACAGAATTACTGCATATATCCACAGACAAAAGCCAACCAATAAACACATAGAAAGCAAGGCACATAGACCCCTTTTTTGTCATTTATATATTCAAATTAAGGTACCTCTTTAAACTGCCAAGTGGTAAGACTAGCATATAAACTGGACGCTGTACCATACGGAGTCAGTCGGTCAGGTTATCGATACAAGTCCACGGAGTGCATCAAGGAGAATAAAACCAGCCATTATGTTATGTAAAGTAGGCAGATGTATTAATACCACACACTATTAAATTATGTAAACAAACATCTTTTTTTTCTAAATACAAAAGTCCATTTGTCAAAAGGAGGGTGCTACTGAAGCATAGCTCGAACTTGTTTCGAAGTAGACTCGTCATTCAGATGTTTCGTGGTGAACCTGGAAGTTACAAAGACAGAGTCAAAAGACTATCTTGTGAATTTCAGGCTCCGTCATGCGCCTTGATAAAGCAGCAACTTTACAGAGCAATGCTTATGCACGTAAAAAAAACAAACACACACACACACAAAACCCCAGTCCCGTCGTGTTCAGGATTGCAGCTCTGAACACGCAAAGTGCTTTAGATTATTCAAATTAATGCTCTCTGTGGTTGTCTTAGCAAGATTGTGTCCCAGAAGCTATGAAAGGCCCAACGGCATTAAATAAAGGCAAGCGAAGTTAAATGAGTGCATTGATTAACAGCAACAATGAGGGAAACGGCATTCATCAAATTAAATGAATAAAGTAAATGGCATTAAATAAACAAATACAGGAAGACCCATGTATGAACATACCTGCATAAAAATACATAATATAAAATAGAAGAATGGTATAAAAAGGTGTGGGATATAGCTATTAATGATAAATTGACATGTGTTATTAAGGTAAGGTGGGGGATATGCCAGAGAAGTGATTTTGAGGAGATATGGAAAGTGTTTGTAGAATTTGTACTGTTAAAACAGAAAGGGTTCAAACCACCGCAAGAGGTGTTGAAATTTTGGGAGGTTGGATAATTACAATGGGATGGTCTGGGTGGGGTGGGGTGCACATATTCATTTATTTATAATTATTACTTTGTCAAAATAAAAAAAATAAAAAAGCAAATAAAACTCCTCCACTAAGACTTGCCTATTGCAATGTTTCTATATCAAGGGTGGCCAACATGGTACTTTTCCCAGATGTTGTTGGTTCCACAACTTCTGTCATCTCCAGCCACCATGACCATTAGTTAAGGATTTTGGGAACTGTAGTACAACAAATGGAAAGCATCATAGCGGCTAACCCTGTCTTATATACAGCACAGTATGTAATGAGTAATCAAAATCCCGTATTTTTCTGTCTATAAGATGCCCTCATGCATAAGACGCCCCCTATTTTGGGGGACTCTGATTTAAGAATATGGGGGGAGATGGCCCCCATGCATAAGATGCCCCCAAATTTTGGACATTGTTTTTATGGGGGGGGGACCCAGACTTATACACGGAAAAATATGGTAATTTGTGAATTGAAACAGGACCTGCTGCTTACACAAAAAAAGGAAATGGTAGGACTCTGATGCGTGCTACACCAGAAGTACATCTGCCTTCCTTCCCTTACCTGTCAGCCCTGCCTCCATCCCCTTCTTCTACTGCTACCTTCCTGCCATGTTCCTTTCTCTTAAGTCCCCAAACCTACTGCTTGAATTGCAAGCGTATTCTTTCCTTGATGAACTAATCTACCAGCAGAGGCAGAGTTTGGCTTTTCAAATTTCAGCGGCGCTCTACGATAGGTCAAAATTCGGCACCCACCCACCACCCACCTCTCACTTTCCGTCCTGCGCATGCACTGCGTCATAGTTATGGCACCCCACTGGGCTTGGCACCCGGTGTGGGGGAACTGGCTGCACTGTCCTCAATCTGCCTCTGCTTCCAGGATATTACAGTGGTACCTCGGGTTACAGATGCTACAGGTTACAGATGCTTCAGGTTACAGACTCCGCTAACCCAGAAATAGTACCTCGGGTTAAGAACTTTGCTTCAGGATGAGAACAGAAATCGTGCTCCAGTGGCGCGGCAGCAGCGGGAAGGCCCCATTAGCTAAAGTGGTGCTTCAGGTTAAGAACAGTTTCAGGTTAAGAAGGGACCTCCAGAACAAATTAAGTTCTTAACCTGAGGTACCACTGTACAACCAATTCCGGTGCTCTAAAACCCAGAGGTCTCGTCTAACCATTTAACGGTAAGCAATCCTACCCTGCTCTGCACAGTTACCCCTCCACCTGTCATGGCAAAGAGGGCTCTCATTTATTCTGAAAATAGGCAGGAGATGGTCTTTGATGTCCAGTCCAGCAACTTTTATTATTTTGTTACACTTCCTGTGTGGTAAATCAAACACAATGGACAATCAGATGGTTAAAATGAAGATAGGCAAACATAATGCGTACCTGAGAGCATTCAAAAGGCCTTCAACTGTGTCTGCTGGCTCTTCCCTTAAAACCTTTATGCAGCCTTTCATCTGTGAAGAAGAGAAGACATGGAAGAATAAGGGCTACTATTTGGATAGGTAAAGGTAAAGGGACCCCTGACCATTAGGTCCAGTCGTGGCCAACTCTGGGGTTGCAGCGCTCATCTTGCTTTACTGGCCGAGGGAGCCGGCGTACAGCTTCCGGGTCATGTGGCCAGCATAACTAAGCCGCTTCTGGCGAACCAGAGCAGCGCACAGAAATGCCGTTCACGTTCCCGCCGGAGTAGTACCTATTTATCTACTTGCACTTTGACATGCTTTCAAACTGCTAGGTAGGCAGGAGCTGGGACTGAGCAACGGGAGCTCACCCCGTCACTGGGATTCAAACCGCCAACCTTCTGATTGGCAAGTCCTAGGCTCTGTGGTTTAACCCACAGTGCCACCCCGCGTCCCAGTGTAGGGATAGGTAGGCTATAATCTTTTTTATAGAGATGAGCGCTGCAACCCCACGACTGGACCTAATGGTCAGGGGTCCCTTTACCTTTACTTTTATCCCTACAGTGTGGTGTAGTGGTTAAGAGTGGTAGTCTCGTAATCTGGGGAACCGGGTTCACGTCTCCGCTCCTTCACATGCAGCTGCTGGGTGACCTTGGGCCAGTCATACTTCTTTGAAGTCTCTCAGCCCCACTCACCTCACAGAGTGTTGTGGGGGAGGAAGGGAAAGGAGAATGTTAGCCGCTTTGAGACTCCTTAAAGGGAGTGAAAGGCGGGATATCAAATCCAAACTCTTCTTCTTCTTCTACACTAGCGTCCTATCTGGATCAAGGGGCAAATTATGGATGGGGGGACTATAGTTGATCCCTTAGTGGAGACATATATTCTATAGAAGGCATTTGGGGAAGAAGGCTGATGTTTTTAATTATTTGCGTGTTTGTGTGTTGGATTTCAATGCTACATTGTAATACGCTTTTATTCAATGTCACAGGCTACAACTGAAATTTGCGCGGGACCACGTGCCAAGCTCTCAATTTCAAGTTAACGTTGCATTCTGAAAAGCAAACATGCAAAAGAAGTCATTTCCCTAAGGCTACAAGTAAGGCTCATGTGACTAATGCCTCAAACCGCGAGTGAAGAAGGCAACATGAATTGAAGTGCTTCCTTCAGAACACCCCACGAAGCTTTTGCAGGGGACCGCAACACCTTGCCATTCATTATTCTTACATCAATCTTTGAGGCTTTGGAGAACGCTCCCACGGGGTGGACGTGGTCGTAGAGAATGATGACGCCAACCATCACTCTCATGCAGAACATAAGGGTTTCTTCACTGGTGAACCTACTTCTGTATTCTCTGAGGAAGGGGAGAAAATGCTGTTATTCTGCCTCCACGTCACAATGCAAATTAACACCTTCACTTTCAAAGCAGCACAAGGAACCTCGAGACACAATCTAATAATGTTAAAAGAAAACTGCCAATAAACACGGCTGACAGGGCAGACCATTGGCAAATCGACACATCTACTGCCCCTGACCCCATGGTACGCTGGCACAGTTGTCCCACCAGCAGGGATGAGGGGTAGCTTTTAGGAGGGGGAGGGGGGTCTGGCCTTTCCATTCTAATACTTGCACCCCACCCTGTGGCTGTAGAGAGACTTCCTCCATTGCTGGACTCTGGGTCCAACTGGCAGAGTTAGAGGTCAGCTTGCATGGTGGGCTTCCATCACCTCGTCCATCACTGTGCCTCTCAGAAACAGCCGCTGCCAGCATAGAGGTGCCTGGAAGGGAGACAGGCCCACTGCCTCAGGGGATGCCAACATCAGGCTCCAGACTTGGCCAGCTTTCTCAGGACTGGGAACAGGGTAGCAGAATTCAGTGCCTTCCCTTCATTTCCCAACTGATAATGATGTCTCTGTTGTTCCACAGGTAATAACAAAGGGCACCCGAGGATGCAATAAAAAGTCCACATCTTAGGTGACCTTTTAAAGAAGAGATTCAAAGCATGGCTGAATCTCCAAAGACGGAGGTGGGGGAATCTCTGTGTGCCCCTCCGAGTTCTCTTGTGCTCCCCAAGTCCTGACAACTGGCCATGCTGGAAGCGGCAAATGGGAATTAAGAGCCCGGCAACCTCTAGATGGCCACAGGCTCCCCACCCCTCTGTCCTAAGATCAAAGGACTGTCCAAAAAATTACTTCTGCCACACATTCCAACTGAGGAGGCAGCAAAAGGCACAATTAAAAATAAATTAAGAAAAAGATGATGATTGAATATGTTTGCATTGTCTATGTGTAACCATGTCAGCCTGGGTGATGAGTGCAAGGTTCATTAGGCTTCCCTGACAGAATGACCAATCTTCAAACATCAAAGCTTGTAAAAATACACAATTGACCAAAAGGGTAAGTCATGTGGAAAGTGACCTGTTTTAAAGATATTTGACCCCTCCCTTTTTTTTTTTTTTTTGGTCCTGCCGTAACTTTTTTTCTTCTTTCTTTCCCTCTCCAACTTTAAATATTTGTCAGAAGGACAAAGCCAGAGCACTGTGGCCCTCAGAGAAAGCGGGGAAAAGAAAGACTTTCTTCTTCTTTTTCCAACAGTGCAAAAGCTCGTCTAAAGCGGGATGGATATGTATTTTAAAATAGAAACCATGACACATCATGAGACTATGACTATCCCTAGATATTACAAGGGAGAGAGAAGATGATGACCTGGAGCTGCTGCTTTTGGTTTAGTTCTACCACATATGCAACAGACATCATTACCAGCAGCGTGTAAAGATACACTCATTTCTTTTGTTCCACCATGGTCTCTGCTCAAACATGCAAAACCAGTTTACCAGAAACGACAATGGAGTAAAAGTACATGGCATGGTCTTTTTCATAATCTCCGAAATAATGGCTACCTGTCTCCAACTTCCCCAAAGGTTATAAAAGTAGCATTCAATTACAAGCTTTTGTTAGATTTCTTTGAACTATTAAAACAAACAAACAAAGCGACATTTATTTTCCCTGCTCATATCTAACTTACGGCGTTTCCAGCATGACTTTGCATACGCTGGCCATTGTACTTAGACAATCTGTCGTGTTCTCAATTGGCAGGGTTTTGTTCTGCAGAGGTTAAACCAAACCAACAACAATAACAACAAAAAAATTAGGTCAGTTATTCAATATTTCTCTGTAATATGCTATTGGTTTTTTAAAAGAAATATTAGATCGTCACTCACTTCTGCAACAAACTGTGTTGTGGCATTGCTCAGTGTTTTCAGCACTGGTGTAGCTTCTGCATAAAACAGGGACATTCTGTTAGCCATCTCGTTGTTCACTTCGCTCTCAATGCCGAGCTGATGAAAACACAAGGGAACACTGATTTTTTTAAGAAGAAGTTTGCTGTGTGCGTTTGCACATTACGCTAAGCCCCAGCTTAGTAAACAAACCACGAGTTGTCTCCTTGATGAGCAAACAAGGCACCGTCTCTTTCTCAACAGCTTTGGTTTGTTTTCCAGCTCCTCTTCTCTCTGTTGCTTGGAGGGGCCACACAAACCATGGGTTGTGCAAGACTGTTGGGTTCAGACGTGACACCAAATGATAGTTCAAACAAGCCACAGTTTCATGTCAACAAGAAACCCATGACTTTACACTGTGGCTTGCTGCCGGAAAGCAAACAAACCATGCTTCGTCTGCTGGGCTAGGTTCGGACATTGACACCACTTTGCCTCAACCAACTGTGGCTTTGCCTTATGTGCAAACCACATGTGCCCAACCTGTTGCCCGAAACAAGGGATGTGCTGTTACCAAGTTCTTGTGCAAAAAAATGAAATCTGCCTTGATTGCAGATACAGCAAATGAACAGGAAAACACATGGCAAAGTATGTGTTTACAAAGTAAAATACATCATCATCATCATCCCTTCTATCTCCAGACAGAACAAGGAAAGACTCCTGTTGAAACCCTGGTGGGCCACTCATGCACCTGGTGGTGCAGAAAAACTGAGGTAGATGGACTGTATTTAGTATAAACCAGCTTCTCACATTGCCAGACTGTCTTCTAGTGAAGCAGCAGCCCCAAAAGGAAACCAGGTTTTCGGCCATTAAATAATCTATGGCCTGCTGAATGTGGGGTGGGGTGGGGACTGTTATTATGATTATTTTATTATTATGCTTTTGTGCAGTGCTTTTTATTACTATGCTGCGTAAATTATGTACTGGGATCTTTGAATAAAGGGCGGTATAAAAATTGAATTAACAACAGCCACGACGACGTTTCACTTACGTGCATATTGTTTATTCTATTGCGATTCAACGTCCTCCTATAATAGCTGAAGTCGTTCTGTATTGCAGGGTTTCTCATCTTAGTGCGAAAATAAAAGGGGGAAATAAAATTTAAAAATCAAGAAAAATAAGCTTCCGGCGCTCTTAACCCAAAAAAGCCCCTTAAACATTTTATGTGTTAGCTGACCATCCCGCCCTCGTCCTTACCTTGAGTTCGTCAAAGCGGAGAGTGAAATGCAGGATCTCTGCGAACTGCTTTGCTAGGGCTTGCTCTCGCTCTAAGTGCTGAGTTGGTGCATAGGGAGGGCAGGTCAAGGATTCCAGTAAACTCTGCAGCGCTTTCTCTGAAGACAGAGAAAGGAGGAAAGCAAAAACAAGTGAAATTGCAGATATATGTCTCGTATTTCTTCGAAAAGAGAGCATTTCAAACAAACGTGCAAACCCATTTTTCTACTAGCACAAGACTCATTGATAAATATTTTTTACAAACGTAACTGTTTGGCCTTTCCTAAACCACGTAAGTGTGCAAAATATCTTTTAAACATGGAAAAACTTAATAAAAGTTACTTCTGGGTGAAGAAAGCCAATCATCTTAATTGAGTTGGATTGCTGGGATAGCTCAGTTGGCAGAGCACAATACTCTGAATCTCAGGGTCGCGGGTTCGAGCCCCACGGTGGGCACAGAAGGGGGTTGGGCTAGATGTCCCTCGGGGTCCCTTCCAACTCTACAATATGGAGACGTAATGAATAAATTAATTTTTTTAAAGGTATGATATTGTTAGTGGAATGAGCATCTTTAATTGCTTTTTCCTCACCAAATGATGATTGAGAGGTATCAGTCTCTTGCTTATGGACGTCTGGCAATACAGCTCCATTACAAACAATATCAAAGGGGATTTTCAGGTTAAAAATAAGCCTCTAAAGTCAGAGTTTCCCAAACTTGTTTTTGGACTACAATACCCATGACCCATGACCCCTGGTCCTGCTAGCTGAGGATGATGGGAATTGCAGCTGGAGACCAAAGTTTGGGAAACATTGCTTTAAATGAAGGGCAGGGGAACGCACAATTGCTTCGTTCTAAGTGCAAGACAGGGACGTGGGTGGCGCTGTGGGTTAAACCACAGAGCCTAGGACTTGCTGATCAGAAGTCGGTGGTTCGAATCCCCACGACGGGGTGAGCTCCCGTTGCTCAGTCCCTGCTCCTGCCAACCTAGCAGTTCAAAAGCACATCAAAGTGCAAGTAGGTAAATAGGTACCGCTCCTGCGGGAAGGTAAACGGCGTTTCTGTGCGCTGCTCTGGTTTGCCAGAAGCAGCTTAGTCATGCTGGCCACATGACCCGGAAGCTGTACGCCAATAAAGCGAGATGAGCACTGCAACCCCAGAGTCGGCCACGACTAGACCTAATGGTCAGGGGTCCCTTTACCTTTACCTTTAAGTGCAAGACGTACACCAAAGGGCAGAGGGAACCAAATACCACCGTCAAAACAGCAGAGCAAAGGGTTGTTCAGCAACACATTAAATAAGTTTTCCTGACTTGTGGTCCCTCCAGGGATGTTGCTGGGACTATAGCTCCCATAATCCTTGGCCACTGGCCATCATCCTGGCTGGGGCAGCATGTTGGGAAAGGCTGCACCCAAAACATCAGAGGTGAACAAATTCTATGGAAACAATAGGCAGCTCCTCACCTAGCCGGAGAGAAAACTCATAGAACCGCTTCAGCCTCACAACCAGAGGACACACAGAGTTCCAGGCTCTCTCCTGAAGTTGGATATCATTGGGGTTTTGTATTGCCTGGAAAACAACGATACCTTGATCAACATCAGGTGGCTGGCATAGTAGAAAAAAGAGGACTTGCTGCTTGCCTCTATATTCAAATATAAAATATCTCAAAATGATGTTTGTATAACAAGAGCGGAAAGTTAGGGGCAAATGGGGCTTGTCAACCTTGGGAGGCAGCCCATCTAGCAGAAGGAAAACTCGGATCTGCTGTCTCGCAAGATATCTTTGCAAGAAGAAAAGGCCAAGGAGTGAGCCCTACACAAATCCAGAGTCAAGTCCCTAAGACAGTTGGATGGCGCCTTGTACGTCTCATTCTGGCAACTCCTGCAGCCAAGATGGTGCCAAACGTATTGCTCGGCTTTCCTTTGGACCACATCAGGCCAAGAGGTGGGTCTTGTCAATCTGGGAAGCCCAGAACCCCTGTGCTCCACGGAGGTCCCTTCGGGGTTTGACTTCACCCCCAGAGGTGCACTCTTATTCTCTCGAGACAGACGGATGTCAACAACTAAGTTAGAAGAAGGGACATAGTTCTGTGGAAGAGCATCAGTGTTGCATGCTTGAGCCCTGACATTACCAGGTAGGGATGGGAATGTCCCCTGCCTGAAATTCTCAAGAGCCATTGCTAGTTAGTATAGTCAAGATGGATCCATCACCCGACAGCTTCCAATGTTCCTGTAAGATATTCCAACTATTTCATCTGATTCAGCCCCGTTTCTCCTTCCTTCCCCTCCTCTCGATTGGGCCTACTGCCCCCAAAGAAGCTTGCAAGCTCGCTGGGGCAGGAACCTACTTAGAGGTTTATTTTCTGCACATGTTACTCCGTAACACTTCATGCACGGATGGCATCGTATAAATTAAGAACAAAACCGTTCAAGAGGTTTTGTAAACGCCACACACAGACCAAAAGCCGAGCCGCTTTTAAGTCCATCTTTGACGTCGCACCATTTAGCACTGGAAAGCTTTCAGCCAACATGTAGTCCTCAGACTCCATCATTCATCTTCGGGGTCATTAATAAATAACAGCCTTCGCAAAAGCTCTTTGCAATCTTGTCTCGCCCGCATGCAGGGGTAAACATAATCCACACCACATGCATGCGGAGATACACATAATCGTGTGTTCTGTGTGCAGATATATGCGTGCACGGCACATCTAGAAAATCTGTTTTTAATTTGGAATCCTAAGGAGTGTCGCTACAAGTTTCAATGAGGTTCTTGACTTCGTTCAGTAGCCTAATTGCATCGGTAACCGTTTGTCTCCAGAAGAGATTTGTTCAGTAGACAGGAAAATTCTTGTCATTTTTAGTTTTAATTTCACATAATTATGACCAATTTTTTTTAAAAAAAGAAATATTGTATGTACAGTGATATCTCTGGTTGCGAACGGGAACCGTTCAGGAGCCCTGTTCGCAACCTGAAAGGAACACAACCCGCGTCTGCGCATGTGCATGATGTCATTTTGCGCATCTGCGTATGCGCAAGTGGTGAAACCCAGAAGTAACACTTTCCTGTACTTCCGGGTCACCGCGGGACACAACCTGAAAAAGCATATCATGAAGCAAACGTAACAAGAGGTATGACTGTATTTGCTTGGGTATGAAAAGAAATATTGCAGACTAGTGTTTAATTTTTCCTTCCTCGGATTTTTTTTTTGGGGGGGTGTGCCATAGTATGGTTTAACGCACATCTCTAATTTCCTGTCCAGCTCCTTTGTAGGACTGCAGGTCTGAAAGCATGCTCTCCGAATCCTGTAAGACAGCATTGACTTGGTTCCATACTTCCCTCTCTCCATCTGTAGGCTGAGCATCTAGGTGAGATAAAAAGCAAATATTATTTTAAGAAATGTTGGCTGCAAATAGAGCTAGCATATGCACTCCTGTGGTTTGCAGTACAACAGCCCTTTGATCCATATTTTATTATGTTGCAGACAATTCAGGCGGTGCTTCATTGATTTCCATAACTATGCCTTAGTATTTAGCTCCAATGTAACTAGGATTAAAACTGCTGCGCCCCACCCACCATCAAAAATGCCTCATGCAAAATGTACTTACATTAAAATAAAACAACAAACCCCCAAACCAACTATATTGACTTCAGCAAATTCCGTGTCAAAACGTATCACGGACTCCACTGAGACAAGATGAGTTGGATACATTTTTTCAAAAAACCTGTGAAAAAAAATGATCTTGCTGCAATCCTTCCCAGTTGGAATTTCTGAGTAAGAAAAACATGAGGACAGCAGTCCTTGAAAGAGTTAGTCCTCTATGCAGAAGTATAGCTTGGCAGAATGAAAAGCTGTTTTCATCCTCACCTGCTATATTAAGACCCATGAATGATCATGACTCTTTCCCTTCTTTTCTAGTTTTAAAACACACCATAATTCTGTGTTTCTTCCCCCTTGGCCTATCTTAGAATTATATGTGAATCACCAGGAAAAGTTATCGCGGAAGATGGACCATTGCTAGGGACACTCAAACCCCTTCTGTCTTTGACCTGCTGATGGACTCATCGTTTCAGTTAAACGTTACAGCCACTTTTGCTTGGGTCCTCTTCAAAACTCTGTTTACAAGCGTCCAACTTAACAAAAGCACACACATTCCGCGTTTTATCGCTGCCAAGCCTTTCTTCGGGGAGATGTTAGACCCAGATCCGTTCCAACGATTACACAAATATTCATGGATTCAGGGGGGTCGTGTGCTAGTCTCTCAGTGAATTATATTGAAATCACTTTAAGTGGGTCTAGTCCAGTTATCTCCAAGCCAGTGAGGGAAGAAATGACAGCGTGTTTCAAAGCCTTTGAAATGACACTCACTGTAACTGATGCTGACACACTTAGGAAGTTTGTCGGAGCATCGTTCACTTGGGTTTGGATAAGAGGGGCTCCCTCTCCCTGCATGGGCCCAGCTCCTCTCTCCCCCCACCCCCTACTATTTCCTATTTGTTTGCCTTTCACTCTGGGCCTAATCCAGGCATAGGCAAACTCGGCCTTCCATATGTTTTGGGACTACAACTCCCATCATTCCTGACCACTGGTCTTGTTAGCTAGGGATGATGGGAGTTGTAGTTCCAAAACATCTGGGGGGTTAGTTTGCCTATGCCTGGCCTAATCCATCCCTCCCCAGAAGAAGACAAAAAGGTATGCAGAGGTTGCTCCTCCTGACTCCTCTTACTGATCGCTCACTTCAAGGGGGAAGGTGAACTGGTAGAAAAAGTAAAGCGGGAAGTCCTGCTGGATAGCTCAGCTGGTTAGAGTGTGGTGCTGATAATGCCAGGGTTGCAGGTTCGATTCCCATAAGGGACAGCTGCATGTTCCTGCATTGCAGGGGTTGGACTAGATAACCCACAGGGTCCCTTCCAACTCTATGATTCTGTGATAAGACCTGAAGGGCCAGGAAGTTCCAGGAATTGGCAGCAAAGCATGGGGCCAACTGGAATAGATGTCTCAGGAGGTATCTGGCAATGCCAATCCATGATGCTGTCCTGGTTATCCTACTTGCCATTGGACTACTGCAATGCGCTCTACGTGAGGCTACCTTTGAAGGTGACTCAGAAACTGCAACTAATCCAGAATGCGGCAGCTAGACTGGTGACTGGGAGTGGCCGCCAAGACCATATAACACTGGTCCTGAGAGACCTACATTGGCTCCCAGTACATTTCAGAGCACAAGTCAAAGTGTTGGTGCTGACCTTTAAAGCCCTAAACGGCCTTGGCCCAGTATACCTGAAGGAGAGTCTCCACCTCCATCGTTCTGCCCAGACACTGAGGTCCAACTCCGAGGGCCTTCTGGCAGTTCCCTCACTGTGAGAAATGAGGTTACAAGGAACCAGGCAGAGGGGCCTTCTCAGTAGTGGTGCCCACCCTGTGAAACACCCTCCCATCAGATGTCAAGGAAATAAACAACTATCTGACTTTTAGAAGACATCTGAAGGCAACCCTGTATCTGGAAATTTTTAATGTCTAATGTTTTACATCTTTTAATGTGCTGTAAGCCACCCAGAGTGGCTGGGAAAACCCAGCCAGATGGGAGGAGTATAAATAATAATATAAATTTTATTATGATTATTAAATTGTTCCAAGATATATTTATTTTGAGCAAGAGATGCATGGTCCAGAGAGGTTTAGGAAGAGGTCAAAGTCCTGAGTGTGCTGCTGTCTAATGCTGCGTTGACTTTTTAAGTCTCTACAGGAAGGCCTACCATATTATTAAAAGTCAGTAGAACAAATAACTGAAGAGATCTGTAGGCAACATTCTGTTGAAGCTAAACAGAACTGGACAAAAGTGGGAGTATTCTTAGAAACTGCATGTTGTATGAGGAGAGGAAGGGTGGAATATTATCACCTATTATGCAGGGAAACCAAAGTTTGGGGGATTTCAGTATGTTGGCTGGTTCCACCAGCTGTACAAAGGACAGCCACCTTTCCTCTGTGTGTTAATCCGTGCGTGCATCAGGTGTTTTGAGGGTGTGTGCACACTATGCTCAGTCTGGGTACCCCCTTCCCTTTTAAACAGGAGATCAGGAGATCGGCATTGTTGTCCTCTGAAAGCAGTGACCACATCAGGCATTTTTGAGCATGCACTCCCTGACAACACCCATCATTCTGTTACACTCTGGGTTCTCTAAATCAGGAATTAGAGGGCCTGTTAACATTGTAGACTAGAAGGGCTTCTCTTGCATACGATTTTCCTCTTGCTTCATACACATCAAATAAAAAGCTTCTAGTGCAGCCGTAAAATCTAGCAGGACACATTTTATGAGAAAAATGCCTGCTGTAAATGGCCCGAAGTGTTCAAAATTCAGCTCAGTGGTTATTAATTTAGGCAGGTACAAGGCCTTAAAAAAAGAAAGAAAGAAAGCCTAGAGAGATCCTTAGTTTTAATAAGACGCATTGTGGTGAAATTCACTGCAGGTGCAAAGAAAAGCCTTCCTGAGAGAGGTGGGGGGTGGGCAGGGAAACACAGGCCTGCAGCACCCAAACTAAGCTAAGGTTTTGAACTCGCCTCATTTTAGCAACCCTGGATATGAGGATTTGGCTGGCAGAATGATGTGGCTTCTTAAATCTATTATATATGCAGCCAGTGCTCAGACGCACAGCCTCTGCTTGCCACACATTCACACGTGACGTGTGTAAAATCCTCCCTGATATTTGTCACGATGAGACAAATGGTCAAGCTACTGTCATCTGTTTGGGCAGAGAAGGTGGCCAAGAAACAGATGCCACAGCTGACTTATGCAGAAGGGCACCGCTTGAACCTCAATGGCTGGGATCACCAGGGACTGGGGAGTGTGCTTAGCTTCCCCCGAACACTGTCCAAAAGTGGATCCCTTCTCTCCCCCATGTACAAAATCATATAGCTGCCGCTCATCCCTGCAGGGAAAGTTCGAGTGCGGTGCTTAAGGGAATTGCTGCTGCGGGAGAAAAACCTGACAACAAGTGGGCCGGCCATTAGAGAGAAAAACACCTTGTAGGAGGAACTATGGTGCTCCGCTTCCTTTGATTGGTGGGAAATTCAGCAACCCTCTTCTGATGCATCAAGTTTGACAGGCTTTTAACACTATCAAATTAATGCAAAGCTTTAGTGCACAGTAATCCCAGAACGACGAATGTCTGAACTCTCAAGGCTATACATTCAATATTGCCTAGGTAATTTTTTCCCCATGGGGGAGGAATTTCTGATGTGAAGGGTGCTTTCAAACAAATCCCCTTCATTCCAGTGGTGCGGCAATAAAAACTGTGGGCACATTTGCAAAGCTAAGAAGGATGTGGAATGGTTTCGAATTGGATGTGTTGAGATTCCTGTATTGAGGTGTTGGGGTTGGGCGAGATGGACCTTGTGTTGTTCCCTTGCAACTCTACAATTCTATTATTCTCATGCACATTCTGTAATGGGATCCTGCTTTGAGAGGACTCCACCATACGAGGCCTTGCACGCTTGGAAGTCATTCTACAACTTGATTCCAGGGATGCAAAACTTCTTGCTCAATACGCAACTCTCCAGTTCCTCCCCATCTCTCCCTGCTAACTCTTTGGAGCCATGGTTGTGGGGGTTGGGGGCGGGGAATCCTTCAACCAGAAGTATTCTATTAACTCATTCTGAGGTTATGCTTTTGCCCCTCCCAGCCACCTTTGTGGACCCTGCCATTTTCTTATCAACTTGAATGGTGCCCCTCAACATAAATGTTAACATGCGACATTTCACAGTTCTGCTGCCAATAGCGGTGTCTCAGCAGGTACGGTCAAAAGCTCTTCACCAGAACTTCTCAAGCCTTCTACCTCCAGGGCCCACTTGAAAGCGTTGTAAGTTACTGGGGCCCGCTAGTCACGAAATTATGCTGCGGGACAGGACCAGTTTGTCGGTTTGAGAAATGGTGCTCTTCAACAATGTGCAGGAAAAGGGTTGTGCTCTTGAGCGATGCAACCAGAGTCTCTCACGCACCTTTCAAACACAACATCATTCTAGAATGTGGCATAGATTGCCCAGCATCAGGAAATGCCTATTTCCATAATGACTCCCTCTTGATGCATGTTGTCCATGAACTTCAGGGAAATGCAGTTTTTGCTTACTAGGCCATTTTTCTTGCCTGCGATATTGGTTGCAGGTTCGGTCCCCATATGGGTCAGCTGCATTTTCCTGCACTGCAAGGGGTTGGACCAGATGATCCTCAGGGTCCCTTCCAATTTTACAATTCTACCATTCTACCTCTTCAATTTCATGACAGCTACCCCACTTTTTTTTTTTTTTTTGCAATGAAGTTAAGACATTCAGCAACAAACCTGGCTGACACAGAAAGGCCCTGAATGTTGAGCTAAATAGCTGGAATCTAGTGAAGGTATTCTTATGCATAATTGTCAGGTAGCTTTGAGAAAATACAGATAGTAAGAAAGATTTATAAAAGGAAGTAGGGAGACTGGGTTGAAACTGACACTGTGGCTTTCGGAAAGTTTTCCCCATGGCGTATTAGTTATGAAACACAGCAAGCTGTGCCGAACAACAACATACACCTGTCTTGTCCGTGTTTAAAGTGCTATTATGCAGCAAGCAGAGCAGAAATGTATCTTTAGTGGATGAAGGGAGTTTTAATGCATTTTCTGATCACTTTTCAAAGAAACGCTCAGACGACATGCATTTAGCCTGTAAGCAGAAGGATTATATTAGCTGTAAGATGTGGTTAGAAAATTAATGTGTGAAGTAGATTACATTTCACCAGATGATAGATCCAAGGCTAAGGGGAATGCAATCGAGCGTTTACTTCAATTGCCATATTTTGTTTCTGCAATTAATGGAGGTAATCACATTAATTCGACAGTGAACAAAGGCAATTCCACACGGAACAAAGGCAAGAAAAGTGTCGTATTCACAATGAATTAGTGTTTTCCTTTAGAGTACAGATATATTTAAAATGTTTTAAGTCCTTCAGAAAGTGTTGAAGGGTCAATGGGTACTATCAGAAAACTTTAAATTTGCTCGTGCACTTTGGAAACTACAGTGGTACCTTGGTTCTCAAATGCCTTGGTACTCAAACAATTTGGAATCCAAACACTGCAAACCCAGAAGTGTTCTGATTTGCGAACTTTTTTTTGGAAGCCGAACATGCTCTCTTTTGAGTGTTATGCTTCCTATTTGAGTGCCACACTTCCGTATTGAGTGTTACACTGAGGTTTGTCTGTTTTTGCTATTTATTTAGTGTTTTTGTTTTTATGGCTCTATTTTTTTGTTTTTTGATTGTGTGACTGCAATACATTGTTTATTGCTTTCATTTTATGGATCAATGGTCTTGTTAGATAGTAAAATTCATGTTCAATTGCTGTTTTAGGGGTTGTTTTTAAAAGTCTGGAATGGATTAATCCATTTTGCATTACTTTCTGTGGGAAAGTGCACCTTGGTTTTGGAACACTTTGGTTTTGGAACAGATTTCTGGAACGGATTAAGTTTGAGAACCAAGGTACCACTATATAGGGAGAAAGAGGTGTTTACTCCCATATGCAATACTGAGACACTTTTCTGCCCAGCGGGATTTTTAAGAGTTTCACAGTGCTATGCTCCTACACATTTTAATAAAGTGTAAAGGGCGGGGGGGGGGTTGCTTGCAAGTTTCTTTGAATACAGCACAAGCCACTTATAATGACCAACTTGTACAAAGCATGCAAACTTGAGGCTCACTCCTGCACCCTCCATAAGTATAACTCAAGGAAGAAATTTACGTCTGAACAGTGCCATGCTAAGATTCACTAAAACCTCTCTCAATGGGCCCTGTTCTTTGTCAATAAAAATAAGAATACCTTCTAAAATGAAGGTTGTTTGACAGAGGCTGTTTGACAGAATGCATGGCAGTTCTTTTAGCCGAGCAATGTTAACGTTTGCAAACAAAATCTATATTGTTGGTGTTTTGGTTGAACCGAGCATCTGATTTTCAGAATGAAGCAGGAAAAGTATAAGTGCCATACACTGTACTAGTTGTATGGTAGATTAATACATGCAATTGATTAGGATTTTATATATTAGAAGGAGAAAAGAATGCAAGCCAGGCAAGGAGTTTTGCTCACTTTCAAAGTCAAGGAAAAAATTTGGCCCTTGATCAAAGTCTGTGCAAGTGAGAACTTTTAAAAGATTTCCCATTTGGTTCCTGAAAAATAGAGAAAAAAAGGAACAGGAAAGTGGCTCAGAGAACAAATCTTGAAAGCATCGAGTCAGATCATTTGCACTGCTTGAACATGTTTATCTGTCAAAGGAAATCAGGCTTAAACATTCCTTCTCAACCAGTTCCTAAGTCAGGGGGAAAGGATGTTCCAATCTTGAACTTACTTTCAAAATCCAGGAAAAAATGTGGGTAGTTTTCAATTTCCCTGGTAAGGACTTTAAGAAGATTACCCATCCCAGCAAACCTAGTGAATGCAACAAAATCATAAAGAGTTATATATGCAAAATTAGAATGTTGAAAAAGTAAGGGTTTGACATGCTCTGCTATTCTGATTTCAAATCGAAACAATGAAAACACAGTCTGTTTTCTAATGCTACATTGAAAGTAAGCGCCAAAGGCGAAGACTCATTGGGAGCAGTTCACACAGCAACCAGCGGCCAAACAGAGAGAACCCAAATATACAAAAAGAGATGCCAAAATCAACCTTTGTTGCTGAGATTGAGGATGGATAGTATTTTCGTGAGTTTGAAGTGGGGCAATAGAGGCAGACTTGCATTGTCTCTGGTCAGAAAGCTTTTGCAGGTTTTTAGTGCAGTGAGAAAACCTGGAAAGTGTGACTGACCAGAGGTGTGAATGAAAAATGTATGTACAACATTATGACATATTTTCCTCTTTTTTGTTTTTGTTTCAGTGTTACTGTGTTGCATTTCATCCAAGAAAAGCAGAACTGTAAAACCGTTACAATTTGTCCATACAAAATATATCCAAGCAGAGTTTTGTTTCTTTCTTAACCACCTTTCTATTCGGCTACACAAAACAGTTTACCTTATTTCTATATTCACTTTCGATTACTTGGGAGTGCAAATAATCAATAGCTTATTTACAACCAAAGAGAGTTGGCTGGCTTGTTGGGGGTTTTTTTTGCCCCTTTCAGGCTACTGGTATGTCATAAGTGGCTTACATTAAATACCGGGCAGTCGATCTAGTAAAAGTATTTATGTGTGAGTATCCAGATGGGTGGGGTATAAATAAAAAAATGATGAGATGATGATTCTTATCTGTCCAGCTGATTTAACTGAGAATTAATTTACATGTAAGAATTTGTTATATGGCCTCCTAAATAATCAGATTTCAGTAATGAAATAATGGCCAAGAAGAATTCAATGGAGCACATTATAAACAAAGGGCAGTGAATGATAAGAGGCTTGACCAAACCTGTGGGTGAATTTAGCGACTGGTCCAGCGCCTTACTGAGTCTTCTTAAAAACCAATTTACCACTTTCAATGCGTTTTTAGTCCAGCACGGTTTAAAAGTAGCACCTGAAAACCTTGCTGGACGTACCGCATATTCCCTCTCTAACAGCAGGTATGTCAAACCCTTTCAGTTAGTGACATTTTGCATACAATGTATTAAAACATGCAAGACCACCATCACTTTAGGAAAGCATAACCGGTTTATATGAAAGCAAAGGGTTTGGAGGTAACAGGATCACATCTGCTTCTCAAATCGAAGTTTGCAATACGTTGCAACTAGGTTAAAATAAATCAGGATAAAAAATTAACCTTAAAAACACAACTATACCTGGTTCAGTATATATATATATATATATATATATATATATATATATATATATATATATTCAATACCATCAATAGTATTCCACTATCACCAACCTTGTCATGCATAAGGGTGAATACACAGAACACAACATTCATGCTAAATAATTCTGAAGGACAATTACTCTCATATTATAATGTAATGAGGGATTACATGCTTCCGACTTCAGTTAAAAAAAAAACTTACCTCATCATAAAAATGAAATCAGATTACAACCTCGAAATGTATTTTAGTTCCAAACCACCCTAGTTACTCTCAAGGCATAAAATTAGAAAAGGCAAGCAAGCTGATCCCATAAATCAGCGTTTCCCAAACTTGGGTCTCCGGCTGTTTTTGAACTACAACTCCCATCATCCCAAGAGAGCAGGACCAGTGGTCAGGGATGATGGGAACTGTAGTTCAAAAACAACCGGAGACCCAAGTTTGGGGATTCAGATACCTGCAGGGATTCCTGTTCTCTACACCGAACATGACAAATGCATCAGAGCTGAATGGCCCATGTTTCAAACAAAACTTGTACCACAAGGAAAAGCTGTAGTTCTCTTTCTAGTGCGTGCTTGATAGCAAACAGTGGATTTACTGCATTGTAATACGCAAAAGGGGGTGCGGGTGGCACTGTGGGTTAAACCACAGAGCCTAGGGCTTGCCGATCAGAAGGTCGGCCGTTCGAATCCCCGCGGTGGGGTGAGCTCCTGTTGCTCAGTCCCTGCTCCTGCCAACCTAGCAATTCGAAAGCACGTCAATGTACAAGTAGATAAATACTTCCTCTGGCGGGAAGGTAAACGGCATTTCCGTGCGCTACTCTGGTTCGTCAGAAGCGGCTTAGTCATGCTGGCCACATGACCCGGAAGCTGAACGCCGGCTGCCTGGGCCAATAAAGCGAGGTGAGCACCGCAACCCCAGAGTTGGTCACGACTGGACCTAATGGTCAGGGGCCCCTTTACCTTTACCTAATGTGCAAAAGGGCCTCAAGTTGCTCTTGAGTACTTAAGGAATACAGGAACAGGAAATGGGGTTGCCTCACACTTCCAGTTCCCTACATTTCTCAGTAACCTCTGCCCCCCCCAAAAGCATTTATTTTTACATTTTGAAGAAAGAAGAAGAAATGTGCCAATGTTTATGCCAGATTTGATGTTTTCTCAGAAATCTGCTAACAGCCCAAGGCAGCCTCCCCAGAAGGTGGATCCGTAGGGAACAGTGTTTCTGCAAAATGTATGAGACAGATCCTTGTGCTTCCACTGGGAACATACATTCCTCGCCCCCATCCTCTAAATCTGTGTGTCGTGCCCAATTTATTTTCTTCAGCATTTAACGCAGCAACATAGCTTTATGACTCAGGGATTCAGAGCTCCCTTTCTTAACAAAGAGATTTCAGAGAGCGGTTGGGCTGATTGTTCAGCTGGGTTTTGATAGAACCTGTTTTCCATATTTCCCCCATCACAATATACAGCCATACCTTGGAAGTCAAACGGAATCCGTTCCAGAAGTCCGCCCAACTTCCAAAACATTCGGAAACCAAAGTGCGGCTTCTGATTGGCTGCAGGAAGTTCTTGCGGCCAATTGGAAGCCACAGAAGCCCGGTTGTACGTTCGGCTTCCAAAAATAGTTTGCAAACCGGAACAGTCACTTCCGGGTTTGTGGTGTTCAGGAGCCAAAATGTTCGAGAACTAAGCTGCTCGAAAACCAAGGTACGACTGTACATCCATATATACTCTGCATATATCTTTCAATGCTCCACTATGTGACCTTTTGCAGTTCTGCCTGTACTTGGTGAGTTTGCAAACTGGGATCCTGCCTTGTGAACGTGGGCTCTCTTACCTCAACCCCTGCCTACTGGGAACAAATTCTCCCTTCCTTGCTGTTTAGCCACCATCAAGTTTAACCAGGGATGTTGTTGTTCAGCCGTGGTTGCAGATTAAGGAAAATCCTGGTTAGCCTGAACCACAATGAATATTAGAGCAGATGAACTGCACCCATCAGAACATAACACCAAAGGGTCCGTCTGGTCCAGCATTCTGTTTGCAACTATGTCCAGTCCAGTTTAAGGCCTCCGGGAAACCTATTGCCGGGGCACAAAAGCAACAGCCTTCCCCTACTGTCAATTGGTATTCAGGGGCATATACCTTGAATTCCATCTCTTTAGCCCCACCTATATAGCTTAGCTGGTTAGAGCGGGGTGCTGATAACACCAAGGTTGCAGGTTCGATCCACGTATGGGACAGCTGCATATCCCTGCATTGGACTAGAGATGGTCCTCTGGGTGCCTTCCAACTCTACAATTCTGCATCTTGATCATTTGTAAGAGAAAATGCAGAGGTCTCCTGATTAGGTATTTCATGTCTCGTCTACTTAGGCCCACAGACTAATTTTAAAGGACAGATCTTCCAAGACTTCCCTTCCCAGATTCCACATGCATATAGATTGTTCCATTCGCTGTGATGACTGGAATAGCCTTGTTCTGTGTACAGCGCTTCCAAAACAGAAGTGACCCAAGGAAGCTCCATGTGTGCACTTGAGATCAAGGGGAATTCCTCCATCTTCCATGGGCTCCTAGGACATCCTGAATACCCCTGACATTTTCGTTGACTCTGTTTAAATGTCCTCTCCACTGGCCATCCAAACCACACGTACTTTTTTTTATATAGTGAACAGATCACATAACAGCTGGGCGCATATTAATGAGCAAAAAGTATCACCTCTGCATTATGTCCCGGCTGAAACAGTAGAAATACTTGGGCAAGACATCAATCGAGTTTAACTACAGAAAGGCTTAAGATCAGCCAGTTCTGCTCAATCAATTTACAGGGCAAAAACTCTTATTGTGCCTTAGAACAAGGGCCTATTGCCCAGAAAAGTGAACGTAATGGCTAGTCTGCAATAAAAAAAGGCCAGCGGCTGATAAAAAACAAAAAAAAAAATGCTCTCAAATACAAGCAAACACACATTCCAAGTTTTAAAAAAACTGTAAAATGTAAATAGTGGGCTTTTTAAAATTTTAAAAAGCGGTGCATTTAACAGTAAGCAAGTAGAAACTAATCTCGACCCAGCACTAAAACCCATACAGTAACATCTTGTTAAGACAATTAAGTTTATACAAAGTCCCACTCATACATTCAAGATCCAGTTTGTCCAAAAGCTGCTCGTTTTAAGCCATGACAAATCCACAGGATGATTAATCACATACAGAGACACCCTTTATGGCAAATATCATTTGCTCCTTTCATAATACTAGGTGCACGTGACTAAAGTGATCTATTATGCAAAGAAAACAGACATTGTTCAGCGATGTGAGCAAAGTTAAACATATGCACAGAAGTGGACATTGTGCAGTTGTTTGGACAACCCTGCAGTGCTACACAGTGGATTTCCTGTAAAGGAGACATTTAAAACTCGCAGACCAGTCTAGAGACATTTGCTCATTCAACATGGCTTCACATGAAGTAAGGGGTGGGGAGAGAAACAGAAGCTCAGAAGGGGTTTTATTAATCCCGCAGTGCCCTCTGCTGTTTGACACTACAGCTAAAAGAGAAATGTCTCTCTCACACACGCTTACAAAAATGTGCATGCATGCGAGCGCGCACAGTGCTTTTCGTTAAGCATTCTGCATTTCAGCAAGAAATTTTTTT